GAGCAAAGTGTTTTTGTCCTCATAGGCTCTTGGACTGCAGTCAGGTAATAATGGTCTTCAGCGCGTGTGCTTGACCCCTGTGAGCCCATACACTGCACTGAAAATGATTGAATTGGCGTTCAACGAATACACATCGAATTTCGAAGATTTCTACACTGTGGCCGAGATATTAACTGGCAAGGCTCGGTATCGGCCTGTTTTTTTCTGAAGGGCAAACCAGCGCTTCAGATTCCAGAGAGGTGTATAGATTAAAACAGGGTGTGGGAACGATGGGCTTGCGCCTCTGTGGGATAACAAGAACCCTCTCCCACACAAGTCAGTCAAATTTGTAATTCGCACTGTTGTAATAACTGGGTCTTGGAGGCTGCTGGCAGATTTTCCCTCATACATCGCATTCATGTCAAACCTCTTGGTTATCGGAAACTTCTTCGTTCTACAACTTGTGAAAGCCCTTACCACATGTTATTCTTTGATACTGTGCAGGTATAACTCCCCATTTTTAAAAGCATATTTTAAACACTGAACAACAAATTTACTTTCTCCCTACTAAACCCATGTCAATTTTATGGTTTGTTTTTTCTGTCTGGTGAAAGGTAACTATTTTTTCATCCTTGTTTAAAATCGCAAATATTCAATGAACCAGATAACAATTGGCGTTAGTATTTCAGCCTACCTCCACTTGTTTTGCTTATTTGGTAAAACAGAGGTGAACACACAACAGCCCTGGAGTTTCTACATACACCGGATCCAGACCCCAACAGGCCTCTGCTTTGCCAATCAGGTCAAACAAGCATTACAACAACCAAGCCAGGAAGTTTTGGTATTTTGGTCCGGGCCTAGTCCCAATGGAAACAGTTCCTGTTTCTTGGTAGAGTAGAGATCTTTATCACACCGTGGACACGTGACGGTGTGTGACGATTTTTGCTTGGCCTGGTGGTGCTCAGGGTAGGTGTTGTATGACATCTGGGCTGTGGCAGCGGTCCCCTGTCAGCTCCAATTTAACATTTTGGGGCCACGTTTTGGAGCGGCAGCTTGGCCAAAATCTGGGTTGGATGACTGTCCACATGCACAGCACGTGAATCAAAGGCTCACTTGACGTTGGCACGCCACCAAGGGTTTGGTCTATCAACTGTGGTCACCATGAGGATCTGGTGTCGTTCTGTGAAGGTAAATACAAATTTGTACACCAAAAAAGCTAGTTTTCAAGCTATCTATCATGCTTAACCTAAGTTAAAACTTTTTTTAGGTATTTATACGTACGTATATGCTGTGTCTAGTATCTACAGTATTGTATTTCTGTGTAGCTGATTACCATGTGAGGTTGGTGAACTCAAACTCACAACCGCTGTTGGCCGTAGAGTGGAGATCTTTCCACCCGTGGGTACAGGTGGGGGGGACAGTGTGTGACGAATCGGCCTGGGACCTGAAGGATGCCAGGCGTGTGTGGAGGCATTCGAGGTGCGTTAGCTCATGTTGAGGGTTTTGTGTCGGGTCTTTTGTATTGTTGGTTGTAGTTTTTCGTTGTAAGATGGTAGTTATTTTTGTTTTTGTGTGGTTTTTGTCATGTGGTGGATCGGTATGTGGTGTTTGTGTGTTTTTTTGTGTTTTTTTTTTTAGTTTTTTGTTTCTTTTCTGGTCTGATTCTTCTTATTTGAATTTATGTCTTTTCCTGTTATCTATTTGTGCTTTTTGTTTATTATTATATGTCTTCTTATTTTGTTGTTTATTTTTGTTTTGGTGTTTTATTTGTTGTTTTATTGCTTATCTTATAATTATTTTATGTTTATGTTGTTTTGTTTATTTTTAGTGTTTTGTTTGTTTTATTGGTACTTTTGATGTGTTGTGCATGGTTTTGTAGGTTGTGTTTTGTGTATTGTCAGATCTATTTGGGTTATTGATTTGTAGTTTGTTTTCTTTTGATGATTTGTTGATATCTTCCTTTTTTTTGATTTCTTGGTTTTTGAGGGTGGACGTGGATGGGGTCTGGGTTTTGTGTGTATTTGGGTGAGTGGTACGTCGTCGGAGTTGGTGTTGTGTTGGTGAGTGTGTGTTGTGGTTGTGTTTGTGATGTTGATGCTTTTGTATCGTGCTTTTCCTTGTTTTTTGTGGTATGTGGACGCTCATGAGGTGGCGGGGACTGCGTATTGTGGTCTCCACGCTGTCGTTCACGAGATTTATGGCAGTCTGGGTCAACGTGTACCTTTTTTGTGCTGAGGCTTAAGCTGGAGGATGAGTGAGACGTCTATTGCTAGTTTTTTGAGTTTATTGTTTATTGTTCATGGATTTTGTCGTGGTATTTTTTTCGTGTCTTGGAGCGAGGCGGTGTTATTTTCGGGTATTTCTTGGCGGGGGTTATTGGGATAGGGGTGACTGGTTGGTTTGTTTCCTTTTGTTTCTCTGCGTTTGTCGTATTCTGGTTGGTGCAGGTCGGGGTTGGGTGTGGCTGTGTTCGTGTTGTGGACGGAGCGGTCCGGAATGTCAGTCTCCTTTTTATTGTTGTTTTATCTTTTGTCATTTGGTTTGTAATTGTTTGTTCTCGTGTTTTTTTGTTGTGTGGGTTGTTCTGCGTTTTGTTGTTGTGTTGGTGTATGTAACGAGTGCAGAGCACGGAGGTTTTGGAGTTCGACGCAACCTGTAGGTCACAGTGAAGACGCAGCGTACCTGGTTTTAGGTTGTTATGTATGTTTTGTTGCGGTTTGCTGATTGGTGTATGGGGTTCTGTAGATTTGAGTGTTTGGTTGCTAATGATGCTGTGCGCGTTGTGGAGCTACTTGTTAGTAGCGTAAACAGCTATGCGTTATCTTCGAGCTGTGTTTTGTGGGGCTTAGTTTTGTTGTTTATGTGTGTGAGTGTGCTACTTTTTTGGTTGTTTTCTGGTGGCCTTTGTACGTGTGATGTCGTGTGTGATGGGAGGGTGTCTCTTGTCTGTGCTGCTTGTTTGGTTGTATATATCTGTTCTTTTTTGACGCATTCTGCATACTCAACTGTTCTTTGATTAACTTCTTTATTGACCTGTTTTCTTTCATCCGACACGTTTCTTTTTTTTCCATCCTTTCCCCCCAATCCATTCTCATGCTTGAAATTTTGTGGCCGTGAATAAATCATAGTATTGGCTGGTTGTGGCTTGAGCCCTGAGCTTCCTGCTGGTTTGAACCCATTCTCGGACAATCCTGGCACCGCAACTGCTCCTGGGTGCAAAGAGCGTGCATGATGTAGATTTGGTCGAAGTAGGACCACATCTTGAAGGTGGCGTGTGGAAACACCTGAGGGTTAAAGACTTTCTTCTCATCTAACTGTTGTTGCTGTTGTTTGCTATCAAACCTGCTTCACAATGTCATACTAAATAATTTGGTCTGTTAGACCTTTCTTTTCTGCTCAGTACCCTGTGACTTCGTCTTCGGACACTCCAGGAACATTCGCCACTGGGAAAAGCCCGAGGAAGATGAGTTAGGCCTCGCTGCGTGCTACAAGTCAAGCACTTGTATGGTCGAGCGTGTAGTTCTTCGTTATCCCCACGTCTTGATGCCTTTCTGCAGCACGCAGGTGATGTTTCCTGATGCTCCTTCCGGTTTGCAGTCCTTATGCATCGTATAGCGTTGAAAGCCTGGCCAGATGAACTGAGCTGCAAAGGCCCTGCGAGCTCAGGACAAGTGGCATGCCTCGCACTGACGGATAGATCACCAGTACGCATTGACCATCCATGCTCTCGGTCCTGTGCAATCCACCGTCACAAGTGGGTCTTCTAAATGACTCATTACTTCATTCAACTGATTATGATTTACATCATCCTCTTGTCCTTCAGGACCCAGGCACTCCCATTGCTACTCCCAAACAGTTCTATATTATTACCCATAAACAATGCACTCCTACGCATTCCTGTGGAGTCCATGTGCCCATTCTACAGACTGCGGCAGTTAGGTTCCCTGGACCAGCAGACTCTCCAGCTGTAGCCAGGTACGGCAGCTCCAGACCATTCCTGGCGTAGTAGCTTGAATATGTATACAATAATGACTTCCTATGTGTATGCTTAAAAATTAGGAACGCAAAGCTGGTAAAATTGGCGTCCTGTCTATTGTGTCTCGGTGTAGATAACCTATTTAACTTAGGGGTATTCGTTTATTAGTAGCTGACTCGTGTCGTTTTGCTTGGACGACGGGGGAACAGACCCACGTAGGTCGCGCGCAAACGACTCACATCCGTGCAGGTGTTGTGTTTGTCCACTGTCTCCCACCATGAAGCCTTGCACAAGTAGGACACGTCGCTCTGTTTCTATCTCTGAACCTGTGGAGCCCCTCAGCATTGGACCAATTGTTTGTGAGTATGGGTTACAAGTTGGTCTCAGGGCTGATGTCTCAACACAGTGAACTATATGAAATGAATGACTATGTCCTTTTTCTCTCTGTCTTATCTTCAGGGGACAAGTCACCTGAGTGAGCTGGTATCATACAGTGATGATACAAACATATTCCATACTGTGATATTATTTTGTTTTAAGATCCTTTATTATTCAACAGAAAAAACATACAAATTGTATAATTAAAACTTTGTATAATTCCTCACTTATATTACGTTTATAAATGCTGTGTTACTAAACAACAATAAAAAATAAACTATAGGGTACCATTACTTTTTTTCTTCTGTGTCTATTTCCAGTACAGCTGTGCTGTTCTTTGTTACATATCATTTTTATATGATTTTCTTGCATTTACTTACAGTGCATTTTCTCTATTACATGTGCTAAGAATGTTTTTTATAAACCATAGCATGGATTATTCTTTAGATCCAGCAAGTTTTCCACATTATGATGTAATGTCTGCAACTTATATATGCATGCATGCAGTATAAAACCACCTCATTTGCTAATACAGTACATACATACATACTGTACCTTGATGGTGGATTTTGCACTAATTAAATATAAATAATAACAATAAAATATAAAGACAAATTGCAACCATGACATATTGCTTTGGTCCACACTGAATTAATTAATCAACATTCATTTTGACACTGCTATCCATGATGTCCTCAGAATGAATCCTAATAATTTTAGTGAGCACCTGACTTTTCCTCTGGCGCCACCAGGAGGTAGATATTTGTGCTTCAGGGTGAAATGTCTCACCTACATCTCGCATGAGGTCTCACACTAACTAAACAAAACCCTGGGTGTTGATGTTGGGCTGCATCTGTTATCCTTCAGATGCTGTTTTATTGCATAACAAGCACAGAAGAAACCCTTTTCAAGTCATTTTGTGCAAGAAAATGTATTTTGTATACCTGCCTGTCTGCCTCAAAGTTATATTCAAACACAAGTCCCTTGACTATCTGACATACCTCATACACTCAAAAGATGATGTTACTTGAAATCTTGGATCACTTGAACGGGGACTTATTTAACCTGGGATGCCTTTGTTTAACAGATAAGTCATTCAAAATAATTACTCATCTAAAAATAACAAGAAACTTAACTCAAAATTTGGATAGGCCCAGCAACAGAAGCAACATAAGTAAAAAGGGTGAGATAAAGATAAGCCATCATTGAAGACTACACATCACATGTCAAACTAAGACTAAGACCCTGGAGAGAAAACTACAGCTTGGGCTAAGACAAAATGAGACAGATGAAGTGGCATTCTTATCTGTCTTATTAGTTTGATATTATGCAATCCCCCCAAAACTACTAAAATTTAATGATTCATTTTGAGAAGGTTTCTTATTATAATGCCTCACAAGATTATTTTAATCACATTGGGCTTCCATTCGTATACATTGCATGTGAGTGCACAAAATGTAGCCACACATTTAAAGGACCGGTGTCTGGGATTCAATGGCACTGAACACTGAAGTTGCAGATTTAAATACAGCTCAGCCTTCCAAGCCTGTAGGAGAAACTGGTGGCTGTGAAAGGCCCTATCTAGAGCCAGTGTTAGGTTTATCTGTTCTGAGCTACTGTAAACATGCCATGGCAGTTCAACATGGCAGCTTCCGTAGAAGAGGACCCGCTCCCTCTGTAGATAAGAACGGCTTATTCTAAGGTAACAAAAACACAACAATTCTTATTTTCAGGTATTTGTACACAAATGAAAACATACCAACAACATGAATGTTATATTCCATTTCTGCCAATAGATCCTCCTAAATGTAACACACTGGACCTTTAACATGTATTATTTAAAAGCAAGTGAGTTCAATGAAATGGTGATTAACCGGTGTGTTGTGGTTGTTCACCCTCCAGCTGAAGGTCACATTATACTCTCCTGCTCTGCTGTCTAGGAAACTCATAATAATGACCAGTGTATACAGGGGGCGTGGAATTGGCGTTACTTTGTTTGATTGACAGGCCTGGGGCCCAATAGAATGGCTTGCTGGCGCAGAGGGGGCGGGGCACCGAGTGACCAACGTTTCCCAGTAGGTTTAGTTTTAGAGCAGTTGGGGTTAATTTCCGACCAGTCGTGGCCATTTATTTTAACTATCCTTCAACTTGTCTTCACCGACAGCCGTCGTCATGTCCAACAACAATGCCAGCAGCAACTTAGTTATCGCCCAAAGGGCCGTGAAGCAGCTCCGGTTAGAGGCCAGTATCCGGAGGATCAAGGTACGAACCCCACAACACAAACACGGAAGACGGACCGACCTAGTGTTGAATGGCGGAGACAAACTGTAGCAGCAATGACACACAGCCCGGACTCTTACATCACAGGCTCAAAAACAAGTCTCCAAAAGTTACACATAAACTGCTTTCTGGTTGACTAAACCACAGCCGCAGACCGAGCCAGCTTCATCCGTGGTTTTACCAGCCGTGGCTCTGCTCTGGGGGAAGCGCAACCACTTTACAGCCTGCCGACGGAAGTGTTTCTAAAAGTTAAACCTCGTTATCGAAAGGAAACAGGTGTACAGTCTCCGTCAAGAACAAAAACAACAACCTTACACTGTAGACACACCCGTCATGTGTTGCGCCGTTGCCTGCAAATGTTATGCAAAATAGTGCCGGTTAGTCGGAAGTTAGTACGTAAATGAGAGATTGGTAGAGTAAGAGTGTGACAGCAGCAGGCCAGCTGGAGCTGTACAAATACTGTACGTGTGATCTGTTTGTGATTCCTCTCACGTATGTCTGGCTCTGCAGGTGTCCCAGGCTGCTGCTGAGCTGAGAAACTTCTGTCTGCAAAATGCCTCCAAAGACCCTCTCCTGGTCGGGGTCCCCTCCAGTGATAATCCCTTCAGACCCCCCAAGTCCTGCTCCCTGTTCTGAGGTAGACCTGCGGATTTCTTTCATTCAGCTGGGGAGTTGAGCTTTGCAATTAATTACTCAAGGGGGGGAAATTAATTACACCTTCACATTCAGTTTACACTGGAGTCAGTTTACTATGAGCCACAGAGAAGAGCTATAAAATGTCTAATATGATCATTTTCATCAAAGATTCATCTGCTCATTATTTTCTTTATTAAATGAGTAATTGTTTTGTCTATAACAGCAAATGGCCATCACAGTTTGACATCTTCAGATTGCTTGTTTTGTCCAACCAGCAGCCCACAACCTACATATGTTAAACTTACATTGGTAGAGAAAAGAGAACAGCAGCCAAACCTGGCATTGGAGAAGCTGGAACAAGACAAAATGATTCAAAGGAATAACAGATTATCAAAAGATATTCAGATTAACTTTATGCCAGTTAAACAATTAATTAATGGACTAACTGTTTCAGCTCCAATTAAGTTGCTAATTAAGGCTGCTGGTTGATTTTATCGTGCTCTCCTGTACTTTGTTTTTTAATATGGTGAAACCAAAAGCAAATTCTTTGTGGAAACGTTCTGATCTAATTTTAATTAGGTTTTAGTTTGAAATAGAGTTGAAACAATTCATGAGTCAGCTAACACACATTAATTTGCAAATCTTTTGATAATTGACTAATTGTTTAAGTAATTTCTCAAAGATTTGATGGTTCCAGCTCCTGTGAGTTTGGTGTTTTCCTTTAGTAATCATTAGTCTGATCACATGTGACAGCTGTTCAGTGGCTTTGGTCAAGCGCTTCCATAACTTAGATTAAATAGAGCTCTCCAAGTGTTGGTTATCTTTGTTGTTCTCATAAAACACATGCTGGTGACTTGCTTCAAAGTTTATATTGGCTCAAGGTAAAAGACATATTTGCTGTTTTACTACTTAGTTATAATAGAGATAGTTTGTGTCCATTTATATAACCAAAATCATGTGTGTGCAGTGGTTTAAGTCCTGAATTGTAATGTGATTAAGATTTCTCCTTTAGTGAGATGCGAGGTACTCGGCAATCTTATTCTTAGTATTATATGGAAGTTCTCCTGTTGTAAAGCCGATAAAGGTCCTACACATGCACTCACTCTTATGGCTGAGTGGGCCTTTGTTATTTCACGTTCACACATGCACAAGACTTTTTTTTTTTAATTAGCTATTATTGTTTATTAATGATCTCTTTTTTTCTGTCAGCAGCAGAGAGAAAGGTGGAGGATTTCAGAATTTATCCGTCGAAGGCTTTCTTCACTTCTACTTGATGTTGCTGTGGATAAAAAACCAGCAGCTCCTCTTGGGATGATGCAACATGGGACTGATGGGTTCAGGGGAGGGAACTTTTTCACTTGTTTGCCAAAACTAATGGTATCATAACTCCCATCTGTTACATTAAGGCAGAGCCAAACTCTACATGTTAAAAAAAAATGTTATTGACACTAACTTGACTAATGATTAAGCCATTCTTGGTTGACCTAGTACTTAACATGTCCGGTCTAAATTTACTGATCTAATGGTGTCTCCAGTGTCTCCAGTCAGTAAGATTCAGCCCATGTGATTGGCTACTCAAAGTGCATCTTTCTTCTCACCTCTTGTGTTTTGTGTAAAACAATCAAACATTAATTTAAACCAGGTGCTATCAAGAATAAGAACATGTTGTGTTATATATACATTGTATTTCTTATTGTGGCCAACAGATATACTGATAGTGTTTGAGCTAATTTGATTGGTGTCTTAAACTATTCCTGTATTTGTGGCAATGGTAAAGGTGTTACTACTATTTTGAGGTACAACAACCTGGTACAGACTTTAACCCTATCAGTGCAGAGCAGGGTGATTGTCAAAAAACTATGATCCCGTCCTTTTTCTGTATATATTACACAGCCTGTCAAGGTTACTTTTATTAGTCTATATGTTCCTGTCTTTGATTTTAAAAAAGCACATCAAGGCCTTAGGTAGTGCAAATTGGTAGCAAATCTAATGTTATATCACTTAAGATACACAAGTGGCCAAACAGCAAATGCTCATATATCTGTTCAAAACTTTCAAATAATGTTTGTATTTAATTGATCATGCTGCAGTGACTTGTTGCATTACTTGTTTTCCACACTGGAATCTTATTCCAATCAACCAAAACTTTTACTACTGTTAGCCTGTATGTTTCTTAACTTTGCTACTGTGGGCAACCCTTTAGAAATTAAATTACTTTTTTGGACAGTGACGAAAAGCTGTATGTGCATTTTTTTATATATATATTTATTTTGTTTTTATTTATTTTTATTTTTGTTTTTTTATTGCCTTTAATTGATAGTGACAGCAAAGGAGGGAGAGAGAGACAAAGGGCCACAGGTTGGAGTTGAACCAATGGCCGCTGCAGCAAGGACTCACCATGTACCCTTTGTACATTTCGCAAGAAAGCTGTATGTGATTTTTCACTACCAATTACTCTTTAATACATTTTAACTATGAGACTTCATAACTCATTGTTCCTACCAAAATACACAGACTGGTCAAAGAAGACATACAGACGGGTAATACATTAAAGTAACACCCAACACAAAGTGTCTTAAGGTAGTAAGGGGCTGTTCCACCACAAGCATCAATGATCCTTGTTATGGGTTGTCGCAGTCTCATACTCTACAGGACGGATGAACAACGTTCTTCCAAAAAATTTGACAGTGTGACGGTGGGGGACAGCACTGCTTAACACGTCGCTCCAAAATCTCCATTCAGTTCATTTCTGGTCTGGTAAATAGCATAGCATCATTTTCATACTCATCAAACGGTATCTAAGCGGATGTTTTTTTTTAACCTCTTTCAAAATGACTTAGTTTCTTTTACCCTCGAGTTTGATCCAGAAATAAGGTGATGGAGTTATGGATGTTGACTGCATTAAGGGCTGCAACCTAGTGTTAATATTTCACTACAACGATGTCTACAGTTGTCTCTCAAAATTGACTGATAATTATCTATAAAATGCAAGAAAACGGAGAAAAATGCCGTATCACCACGTCGAGATTCTTAGAGTCCATTGGGACATTTCCAAATTCTTGTCCTGACAAAGTAGTCCAAAACCCTTAAGTGATTTTTTACCTTGATCAAATACATTTGAGAGGTGGAACCGGTGGGCATTTGACATTTTTTGCAAAAAAAAAAATAATTAAGCTTAAATGATTAATCCCATTAACAACATTCTTGCGAAGCACATTGTCATAAAGTGACAATACCAAACAGGCCACTATCACCATTACTTCATTTAGTGAAATCACAGTGGGGCCACACTTTAGGGTTGTTAATTTTATATACAGATGAGGTCCCTGGAAGGATTACTAAGCTTTATTGGTATTTGTAGCTTTTTATTTGTAAGGTAAAACAAACTGAAATGTGGTCAGGACGACCCATGCTTATGTGAATCTTGAATCAGTCATGCTCATTTGAAAAAGTCTGAGCCTAAAATCTATACTCGTCGAGCATGAAGGTAACGGGTGTGTCTAGGATTACCTGAGTGTGGCTCCCTCGGCCATCCATGGATATTCTTTGAAGCGTGCCCTTTGAGTAAACAAACGGTTAGGTAGGCAAGCATTTAATCATTTTCAATTCTAGCCCCATGTGGTCAGCTGTAAGGACGGTCACAGAAGTGCCACCACCTGGAAAATAAAAAGTATCAGGCAGCACCTGTCTGAGGCTGTTTTTACTGGCCGCAGGTAAGGCACTAGATAAAACAGGAACAATGCGCCATCCTGTACGTGTAGTTGTATTGTGCTGTTTAAGCTTCAAAGAACATATAGCAGCCCACATAAATTCTGTTATGTGCTTTCGTCCTGTTGTGATGGGCACACACCATTTCGCATTGTGCATGGAGCC